TGAAACTACATGTACACAGACATGTTCACGCAGGCGGGCGAAATCTTTGAAAATTAATTTCTCCCAATTGGAAGACCGTATCTTCATGCAACTTTAAGGATTTATTTCCCTTATAATGATCCAATTAGCATGTGCTAAAAATCGTTGTGATATGTTCATTACTTTTCATTGAAATTGGAATAATAGGTCTGGCTACGTGAATTTTTTGAAAGTTGTAACACTGACGTTTGCCGTTTTGACGATGTGACACATCCGTCCAAAGCTGAGATTTTCTGAAATCTGAGATTTTTGAATAATCTAACATTTTATGATATCCTTTACATAATTAACAAATTTCGAGACACATTCCATCGTTTGTTAATTACGCTAATTGCACAAAGTGTTGAAAGTGCTGCACACTAAGTATTTCGTTTTGACGAAGTGACGGTGTAGCGTGAATATCCGATTCCATAAAATGTGGACTCATTGGTAGTATTGCGCACGCGTGAGTACGATACGATGCTATTTTTAGGATCGTTTCGGGAGAGTGACCTGTCACGTGCGCGGGATTAACCAATAATAGGGGAAAAGGGGTCCGATTTCATAGGAGTCGAATTTTCATGTGACAACGGATCTCTATGATTGTGTCACTTAGACTCATTGATTTTACACGTGTGCTATATTTAGAAATATGAAGCCTCCAAGATTTGCGTTTTGATGAAGTGACGTATCTGCGTTCTAAAATGTATCAATTTTATATACGGGCATGCGCTGTGTACAAATACACAACCTCGTTCCCCATGGGTACGATCTTGCTGCGCCATCCCATCATGCTTTGCGCAATCTTAACAACGCGCACGTGCCCATGGAGTCGAGGCTGACAAATACATGCCTCATTTTTGTGAAGAAGCAGATTTTCCGTTTTGACGAAGTGACGGATATCTTTAGTAATTGATATCTTCTAATTAAACACGATTTTATGAATAGAGAGAATTGTTTTTGGCTATTTAAGTCCTGGGCTATTGTCTCAGTTATATATTTTTCAATTCTGGGGGAGAAAATGCAAATTGAAAAATCCACCAACTTCAAACGCAATTTTCTCAAAACTCGGTTTGCATCTATGTGCACAGATGTGTCACTTCGTCAAAACGGTGACGAATATCTGTCAATTTTTCAAGCCTCACGAATATAAATAAGGTTCCTATGCATTATGGTGTGCAGTAAAAAAATGTTTAAGAAAAGCCTCCTTCACGAGTTATTAATTGATAAATATCACCCTTTTTGCCGGCTGCCATTGGTCGATACCGAGACCCCCGCCAAAACACGCTGAGTGACGCTTTTGACATGCTAATGTTGTTTGCAACAACAGATTAAGTTAAAATGTGTAATATACTTAGATGATATAAGTGTTCAACTACTCGTGAAATAACAAGTTTGAGAAATTCCTAGAAATTGATATAACTACAGAGATTTGGGGAAGTTTTCGAACGATTTCTTCCAGACTTGAAGGTCAGCTATACCGGTACCAGTAGCCAGTATTGACGTTTCGGCATCTATGACGGCGATTTTTTTCACTGACATGAAGTTTAGAATTTCTTCTTCCGTTATAATTTAACATTTCAATTATACTGTAGCAGCTGTATGCAGGCTGCGAATTCTGAACTGTTGAAAACATGCACTTGTTTGATTTCTGACTGAAAGGACTACTTGGCACAAAATGTATGTTTGCATATGAGGGTTAATAATTAATATTTCCCATACAGTGTTTTAACCATCTTTTCGCTTGCATGAAAAAAATATGAGCAGATTTCATATTCCGTTACCATTGGAATGTCAACATACACTCTTGTGCTTTTTATCCATTGTACAGTCTTTATGTGCACATGCGCAGTTGGAGTTCCAAGCCGAATGCGTGGGTGCGCATTTGCTGAAATGAATGCACAGTAGTCGTCCTTTGTTTTAAGGCTGAGCATTTCCCCGTTACATTCCGAGGCAGACTGTGGCAGGTGGTTCACGCATTCAGTAATCGATACTTTTTTATTAAATTTAAATTTAGAATCTACATGAACATTTATTTGGATTTGTTTCTTTTAATATAGTCCACATGGAAAATCAATATAAAACAATTACAGTTTGTTAAAGGGAATTATTGATAAATCATTCAGAATGTGTTTAATGTCTGGTGTCACTATCCTTGCAGTCTGTGTCTTTTTTAGATTTTCACATGTTTTGCAATATTAACTAAAACAAATCATAGCAACTGAATTTAACTTTTTTGCAGTTTACCCCGGCCATTTACATTCTTTTTGTTATCTGCATTGACTTTAGAATTGTAGCAAGACTGGAGTACTAAATCAACATTTAAAAAGAGAGAAACGAAGCACAAAACGTAAAAACGAATAACAGACGCAATGCTCTTTTTGATCTGAGCCGGGCAGTATAAAACCAAAATAATAAGCAGCAAAAGTATGAAAAGTTAAATAATAACCTTTATGTTAAAAAATTGCTTACATTCATGCTCCAGGAATCGATCACTTTCCTTTCAACGAAGCGTTTTTAAAACTTCATTCAATTATGTAGACGAATGGCGCTCTGTATAAACGTTTGGCTGCAATTATCCACTGAGACATCCACATTCTATAACACAAACAAACAAACCAAACCAATCATGAATCATAATGTTAAAAAAGCAACCTTAGTTTGGCCCTTTTATTTAATAAATATTTTCCCGAAAGGACAGTCGGTGAATCAACATGAATATCAACGGGGATGTCATTAAAAAGCATTAGTTCGGAATCGAACCCCACTCAAGTGTTATTCTGACTGATTATGACTACCCACTACCGTCTACACTACAGAGTACGCCAATATATGAAGCCCGGGAAGGGAAAGGGTAGAATTTTTTTTGTAATTTGCTAATTCGTTCCCACGAACTACTAATTCGTTCGCACGAATTGCTAATTCGTTCGAACGAATTGCTAATTTGTTCGCACGAATTAGCAATTCGTTCGCACGAATTGCTAATTCGTTCCCACGAATTGCTAATTCGTTCCCACGAATTGCTAATTCGTTCCCACAAATTACTAATTCGTTCGCACGAATTGCTAACTCGTTCGCACGAATCGCTATTTCGTTCGCACGAATTGCTATTTCGTTCGCACGAATTGCAATTTCGTTCGCACGAATTGTTATTTCGTTCGCACGATTTCCTAATTCGTGGGAACGAATTGCTATCTCGTGCATCCAGGAACGCGTTGGTAATTCGTGGGAACGAGTTGGTAATTCGTGGAAACGAACTAGCAATTCGTGGAAACGAAATAGCAATTCGTGGGAACGAATTGCTAATTCGTGCGAACGAATTAGCAATTCGTGCGAACGAATTAGTAATTCGTGGGAACGAATTAGGAAATTACAAAAAAAATTCTACCCTGTCCCTTCCCGGGCTTCATACCAATAGGCTAATTAGTGTAGGATTTTGTGCTATCATACACACGAGTCTCTGCAAAACATGTATTTAGACAAAGCTCAACACAAACATATTGCAATACGAGTATCAAAATACAGAAGGAATATACTTACAGACGTTTACAGAATCAGAAACTCGGTTGAAACTTGCTAGTTTCGTTCAGCTATCAAACGACATGTGAACGCCGCCATTGTTTCTGATAACCGACGCTAAAGACTGGCCCAATGACTGGCCCCTAGTAACTCAATTTCATAAGAAAGTGATAGGGACCACATTAAGTCCGGGTACCAGACTCTATAAGTCACTTCGTTGAAAACTGACAGCGTTGTTTACGCGTTTCACGAAGTGACCTATCTCGATGCGCCAGTTTGTGAAATGATAATTTAGCATTTTGTAGCGATAGGTCAACATTTTTAATTAGCTGAATCAGTTTAATTAGCTAATTAGGCCACTTATGAATTGTAAATTTTCAGAAAATAAAGATTTCATCATGCATAACCAGAATATGCTAAAAAAACCATTCGTCAAAAATTCAGATTGGTCATATCGTGGTACGATCGACGAATTGTACTTAGTGCCAATGTTATTAAGCTAAAGGTGAAATAGAATGAAGAATGTTTGAAATCGCCATCTACAAACGAAAAAGAAGTCTTGTCAACGAATCTGAATTAACATAAACGAAAGGTGCTGCTCAACCACTTACTTGATTGAACTGAAATGGAATTGAATGCTCTGGTAGTGAAATTGAAACGCGTACTCAGAGCGATTCTCAAATTCAAACGAAGTGAATTTCAGATTTTCAGAAGTAAATGAACATTTTAGGAAATTGGCCGTGAAAAGCTATAAAATTAAATTGATGTCACATTGAGACATCGAGTGCCTGAGAAAAGCACGCATATAATATATCAGAAAATCAACATATAATGCTGTTTAGCCAAAAACAGTAGGAAAATATAAGTTTTCGTACTTAACCCATCTTCACTGAGTTATTAATCCACACTTTAAATAAGGTTGATTTGTCATATTTTTTCAGCTTTATTGTTTATTCCATATTAAAGTCAAATTTTAAGTTTTCTCTTGCATGATGGCGATAACAAATGCTGTTATCCCAAATCCTGTATATTTAGGGTCTGTATAATGAATTTTTTTTTGTAACAAACGTCACTTTACAGACTTCGTCTGCGGAGAGAGGAAATAAATCCGACTATAGTATGCACATTTGCTACGAGCTCATCTAGTGCAGAATTGAAACACAATGCCAGATTCTAGTGATGGTAAGTCATATCTGTAAAAAGTTTCGTTCAATGGCCTGTTTTTTTTTTTTTAAGACTCCATCATTAATGATGTAGGTCTATTCTCATATAAAATCAAGAGGAACATGAACCACACTTAAACCACTGTTTTATTCTAAGAGGTATCTTAATTGGTATTGGACAAAACTGAATCTGACCATGCCCATGATCCACTCGAGTGATGATGAGATATGGGTCCTGAAATAAAACAAAAAATAATCCCCTTGATAAATCATCACAAATTGACATCTTCCGTGTTCGTTATGTTAATAATCATTAAGGCTATTTTTCCTTTCACAGAAGACGGCGACTTTGGGCAGCAGTTGCCACCGCTTCACATCTACCTTAAGAGGGTTCTGGACAAATACCCGGAAGGTGGACAGATCTTGAAGGTAAGAAAATTTGTCTGTACACGGTAGAAATGTTGAAAAGTGTTTTAAATTTTGTATATAAAAACAACTTTCAGCATTATTCTGGGTTTTTTTGTAAACACAGGTTTGGCCTTTATGAAAGAAAAAAAAACGTAGTTAAAGCTGTTAAATATAAATATCTGTCCATTTCAGGAGCTTGTGCAGAATGCAGATGATGCAAAAGCAAAGAATGTGATTTTTCTTTACGACAAGACACACCATCCGAGCCATCAATTGTGGTCTGAGACATTGAAGGACTTCCAAGGACCAGCTCTGTATGCCTACAATGATGCAACCTTTCAGAAGCAAGACTGGTACAACATCCAGCACCCTGAGCAGAGTGGGAAGCTGGAAGACCTTACCAAGGTTGGGAGGTTTGGCCTGGGCTTCATCTCTGTCTACCATCTTACAGGTGAGTAATATTTATACTGGCAACCTCATTTTTATCAACATATTCTTTGCATTAGCGTACTTTTAATTGCACACAAAAGTCATGATTATCAAGGTTTTGATTTTTTTCTTTTCTTCACAGACATGCCCTGCATCATCAGCGGAAACAAAATCGGTTTCTTGGACCCACTGGAGAAGAACTTCATCCATGACCCTCACACCAACACAAAATACAAAGGCAGACGTGGTAAGAAGTGGAAGATGACAACCGATCTTCTGGCTGAATTTCCAGACCAGTTTTCACCATACCTGATTGACTTGTTTCACTGTAATAAACACAACTTTGAAAACAGTAAATTAGAGGGTACTGTTTTTCGATTTCCATTGCGAACCAGGGAATCACTGGTCAGTAAGTCGGTGTTCACTGATCATGCGCGTGTGCATGACCTCTTTGCGTCATTCCAGAGAGATGCAGAGATCTCTCTGTTGTTTCTCAAGCATGTAGAATCCATAGCCGTGTATGAAAGAGATCATATGTCTGACAATCCTAGACTTATTTGTAAGGTACAGATTCACGAAGACGATCGTCATAAGCTTCGTATGGACAGAACAACATTCCTGAGCCGGATTATCTCGAATCAAGACATTCAAACAATGAGCTGTGTACGAATCCAGAAGCAAACTGGATCACAGACAGCTCAAACGACCAGCAGATACATCATCTTGAACAGCTTAAAGAGCACATCCAGACGTCTCCAAGAACTGAACAAAGATGATGAACTGAAGTTGCGGCCATGGATGGGGATGTCCTTCCTAATAAGCTCTACAGCAGGTTTAGATGACGAACAGCGAAGTGGTCGTGTGTTTTGCTTCCTACCATTGCCAGAGAGTGAGAAGACTGGATTGCCAGTCCACGTACACGGCTACTTTGGTCTAGGAGACAACCGTCGCAGTATCAGGTGGCCAGATCAAGAGTCCCAGCATGACAACAAGGCACTCTGGAACAAGCTCCTCACACGGAAAGTCTTTCCGGAAGTTTATGCAAAGGTCATCCAGGCTGCTATAAAGAAGAGTAAAGATCCGTCTGATCCGACGAAGCCGTTGGATGTGTATAAAGCGTGGCCTTCCATTGAGCACATACAGGCAAATTGGTCAACTGGGGTCAAGAAATTCTTGCAGCTGCTAGCGAACAAGCCCATCTTCTACACAGAACATAATGGCGGCTCGTGGAAAAAGCCAATGGACGTGTATGTTGACCCCGAGGGAAGCCCCTTGATTTCAAAAGTGCTGAGAATCAAAGGTTGTCCAGTTGCGCAGCCTCCGCACCACGTTCTGGAGTCTCTTAAATGGGCAGGTGTGGCTTACAACACGGTTACACCTGCACTTGTGAGTAACTGGATCAGAGGGGATCCACTGCAGTTCCTGTCAAGTGACGAGAAGTTTGAGCTTCTTAAATACGTCACCAGTGAACCAGTTTGTGATCTGAAAAACCTGCGTCTGCTTCCCTTGCAGAGTGGCGATTTTGTTGCGTTTTGTAACGATGCGCCAATAGTATACATCGCGACCACAGAGAATCCAAGTTCTCTGATCCCAAATGGGGCGTCAAGATTCGCTGCAAGTGACCTGCCATCGACATTGCTAACAGATCCGAGCATAGAGGCGCACACACAGCTAAAAAGCCTTGGCGTTAATGATGTTGCACCTCTGTTGAAAGAGATGCTTCCAAGCACATGGAGAGGAGGAACAGATAATACCGTGCCATGGACCCCAGGACGGGGTCAACAACCAACAAAGGAATGGTTGGTGGAGTTGTGGAGATGGTTGCTGAAAACAGAGCTTGAGGCATTCAAAGGTATTCCCCTCATCCCGGTAGCACGCGATCGCATTGCAAGACTACAACAGAATAAGCTAATTTGCCAGGTGCGGGAGGGGGGCTCTTATGGGCGTTATCCTGCACGCTTGTCAGATAACATCTGTTCATTTCTTGAGTCTGTCGGGGCTGTTGTTATACGGGATCTTCCGTCTTATATAAGCGATCACCCACATGTCAACAGATTTGTTGGTGGTCCGACACCCGAAGGAGTAATGACCATTCTAGAGGCATGCAGCCAAAATAACCTCGATGCACAGGTTCAAGGTTTGGCTGCAAGCCCAAAAGACGAACTATGTACTTTCCTCTCAAAACTCCAGCACTTAACGCCCCAGCAAAGTGATATCTTGAAGTCTCTCTCTGTCTTTCTTGGAAGTGATGGGAAATATATTGCAGTCAGGACATGTCCAACTTCAATTCCTGGTGACTATTTTGAGTTACCAGTGAGAGCTCTGAGACGTCGATGTATTATGCTAAGATCTGATGAGTCGGACAACCTACTGTTACAACTTGGGGTTAAAAAGCTATCTGTTGTTGAGTTTCTACAAGGAAACGTCCTCCCTGCAGTACAGGAAGGATTCTATAGTGACGACGAATCATTGAAGATCATGAAGTGGGTCTTGCAGCAAGCAAGATTTGACCACTTGTTGACAGGCCTGAAATTTATTCCAATTTCTAAACGCAAAGCAAGTCCAGAGGAGCTGTTCGAGCCCTCTCAAACCCTTCAGGTAATGTTTAGAGGAAGCAGCAGGTTTCCAGTTGGACAGTATTCCAAAGGCAGACTGCTAGACAACTTGAAACGGGTCGGACTCAAAACAGAGGCAGACGTGTCACCAGATGACGTTTTGATGTGTGCAATGGAGGTTTCCCAAACCACAAACTGTGCTGATGTTGAAAGGGGGTCAGTCCTTTTACAACACATCAACCACTATCCAGGTTTCTTACGTGAACAGGTCACGAGCAACAGGACATGTAAAGCACTATATAAGTTTCTTGAAGATCTGTCTTGGGTTCCGTGTGAAGCTTCACCACCTGCTGATTACCCTAACAAGGCTGGTTGGATTGGAAACTCCCACACACTCTACTCGCCCAGACAAGTAGGGCCCATTGATTCTGCTCTGCTTCAAGGCTCTGTGCTCCCTCTTGTAAGGTTACATAACGTCAAAGATGAACTACTGAATGCCTTTGGATGGAAACAGAATCTTGATTCCAGCAACTACCAACACGTCGAACGGGTAATGCTTCATCTTAAGAATGTTGCCAACAACTACCAGAATGTTCTTGATAATGTGCATATTGTTTCTCATACAGTGTCCGAGATATATTCCTTCTTCACTAGAGCAGAGAATGAGCAAGTGAGACACCTTTTTCACGAGCATATGAGTGCTCCACAACCATGGGTGTGGCATGGTTCTGGTTTCACCACTCCTGACAAGATGGCCATGAGCAACGGGACACTTGGTGTTAGTTTGACCCCTTATCTACGCCTTGTTCCAGAGGATTGTCTCCAGTACGGCAATTTCCTAAATAGCATGGGTGTCCAAGAGACCTTCCAAGACAGCGCTTTTTGCGAAGTGCTGCAAATTGTCAGTCAAAAGCATGAAGCCAACACGGTTTCCAGTGAAGAGGATTACAAGAAAGACTTAAATCTTGTCTGCAACATCTTAAGCCACATGGTTAACCAAGAAAGATTTGACAGCAAGATGTCAGGGATCCTCGTTCCATGTAGAATGCCCAGAGGCCGAGAAAGAAAGCTACACATGGCATGTCCATCGCAATGCCTGTATGTTGATGAGGAGAGACTTGCAAGACAGATATTCGAAGAAGGTCCCCAAGACTTCGACAAGCCAATAATTCATGAGTTAATACCCAACTTGGTTGCTCAGAAATTGGGATTGCAACCACTGAGTCACGTGATTGCTCCAGTTGAAGCAGTAGAGTATGGATATGAAGTTGCTGGACCACACGAGACAACAGTGAATGCAATCAAGCGTAATCTTGATATGTACAAGGAAGGCCCGGGCATCTTTAACGAGTTGATTCAAAACGCTGACGATGCTGGAGCTACTGAAGTCAAATTCCTTCTAGACTGGCGCGACAACAAGCAAACAGCTCACAACCTTATGGGCGAAGGAATGAAATCGTGTCATGGACCTGCTCTCTGGGTTTTTAATGACGGCATCTTCACAAAAGATGATATTGCAAATATCTGCAATATAGCTGCCCAGAGCAAGAAAGATCAGCTGGACAAAGTTGGGAGGTTCGGATTGGGATTCACGTCAGTTTATCACTTGACCGATATTCCCAGTGTTGTCAGCGGACCGTATGTGCTTATTTGTGATCCCAGAGCAACCCATCTTGGATCCCGTGTCAAGCCGGCACAGCCAGGTATCAAACTCGATCTGACAAACGAAAGCCACAGACGGACGCTTGGGAGTTATCCGAACCAGTTCCAACCATACAATGGCATCTTTGGTTGCAAGCTGCCAGAGGCTGCACACTTCGGGCACACACTTTTCAGGTTACCACTGCGGACGAAAGCGGAAGCTGATGGCCAACAGCCAAATCAAATCTCAGATTCTGTCTTTGATTCCAAGAAGAGTACTGAACCACTGTTAGAGGCTTTGCAGAAGTCGGCATCTACTCTGCTTCTCTTTACACAGAACGTGGTTCATGTTACTGTGGAACAGCTTGAGTCTGAGAACATTGATGATGGGAAACCTGTTATGTCTGTCAGTGTTTCACAAGTCAGACAGCTGCCTCGTTCAATTGCAGCTCCAGCTGACGACTTGAAGACAGCTCTAATAGATGACTTGAAGACCCAACGAGGCATTCTGAAAACGACGGCAAAACGTGTAAAATTACCTGTCCCTGATTTGCCTATTCCAGAGACAACTATGATTGTGAAGGTGAATCAGGAAAGGCGAGTATTGGGTATGGGTGGGAAAAAGAAACAAAAGAAAGAAACGTTTCACTTCATCATCAGCTCTTGCATGGCAACGGAAGAACCTCTTGATCTCTCCCTTACCAAAGAGGGCATCAAAGCTGGAGTTATGCCGTGTGGTGGAGTTGCTGCACAATTAATATCTGGTGAAAGAGGGTTGACCCCTGAAACCACCCAGGGCAAGGCCTTTAGTTATCTTCCTCTTGCCGTCTCAACTGGGCTACCGTTCCACGTCAATGGCAACTTCTTGCTGCAACCTAACCGTCGCCAGCTATGGAGCAAATCCTCCTCCGACACGGGAGAATTTGAGACCCGTTGGAATATCTGCTTCATGGAATCAGTCTTGTTGCGTGCTTTTGTGAATCTACTGAAAGATCTTCAAATGTTGCATGAAAAAGATGTTGTTGATGCTCGCAACTTCCAGTGTTTGTGGCCCAGATGGAGTGAGTCTGAAACTGATTTTCATCCTTTCGTTAAAGCCTTCTACAAGAAGATAGTAAGTTGTGTCGATGCCCCAGACGTATTCTTTCACCAAAGTAAGTGGGTATCAGTCCATCGATGTTTCTTCACTGATTGGGGATTGACAGATCCTGAAGAGGTGAGAAGAAGTATAACAACTGTGCTAAGCAAGCATCAGGATCCGAAACGATGGGTCGAACTGGAAAGAGATGTAGTTGACAGCATCAAACAGGTAGACGCTCAAGAGGTTTTCGACAGCAACACCTTCAACATCCAGCGATTTTTATCTGAGGTATTATTTCCGATGATGAAGAATAACCCTCAAGACATCGAGTCTACCCACAGAAACAGGATTGTTCTTTACATGTTAGACCTTCGTCTTGGAGAAAGAAAACTGGAAGATTATGATGAATTACTGAAGGCTACGGAGTGTATACCGACTTCCCCAGAAGGAGAAGACTTGGCAAGACCTCAGGATTTGGTGAATCCTGAATCACCAGTTGGATCACTGTATAGCGAGACTGACTGCCGGTTTCCATATGGAGAGCTGTACCGTAAACAAGAACGTCTTCTGTCTTTATCCCAGCTAGGGATGGCTTCGCATGACTTATCTTGGGAAGATATCTGTGAGAGATCACAATCACTTTCAGGGGGTGAGAATGTTGTCCAGAGGTGCGTGACTCTTCTAAAGCTGATGGATGAAAAGCTCAGAAGGTATGACGAGCCAACACCCGATCATAGGAAACGCATCCAACAAGCAGCTTTCCTTCCAGTCCTGGAGAAGCCCCTTAGCTACCCTATTGATTGGTGTCACTCTGACAATGAGTTTATGTCTGCAGACATGCTTCATACACCAGAACACCAGAACCTTCTTGGGTCCGTTCGACCACTATTGGACGAGAACAGATTGGGATCTGAGGCAAAGAGTGACAATGTTAAAACCTTTCTTGGATTCACGGGAAAACAAGTTGCAGTCAATGATGTCATTTCACAGCTTGTTATTTTGATCAATCAAGCACCTGGGGTGGCTCATCAAACATCAATGGTTCGCAGTATATACGCATATCTCCAGAGCAAAATCTATGTGGAGTCTCCAAACGGTGAAGATACTTTCAAAGAAGAGCACCGTGCTGCTGTGAACAAGCTTCGTTCGATAGGATTCGTTTTCTGTGATGGCCAATTCAGAAAGTGTAAACAACTTGCTTTTCTCTACGAAGGCAAAGATGGACCATATCTGTACAAAGTTTCCCGTGAACTCACTCAATTCAGCAACCTGTTGCGGATTTGTGGTGTAAGAGATCGCTTTCAGCTAGATGACTTCCTTGAAACTCTTCAGCTTCTGAAGGAAACATATGGCGAGGAACCTCTGGGTGAATCAGATCTGAAAACCGCGACGTCGATGTTGTCAGAAGTTGTCTCCAAGTTAGAAGAAAAGCATGGAAAAAACACTGAAGGTAGCCAAGAAAGCAACTTACAAAAAGGCTTAATCCATGTCCCAGACATCTGCGGGATCTTGCGGTTACCAGGAGAGCTGACATACAACGATATGGAATGGGAGGGAAGTCGTGACGAAGAAAAGTATACACATCGAGATATATCGTCCCCCATTTATGCTAAGGTTTTGGGTATCGTCACTGAAAGGGAGAAGTACATTGATAGCTGCTTACCATTGCAGGGATTTGCAATAGATTTCGGCCAGAGTGAACAACTAACGGATCGACTGAAAAACATACTGAGGTCGTATCCAAACGTCTCTGATGTATTCAAAGAGCTTCTTCAAAATGCCGATGATGCAGGATCAACAGAGATACACTTCGTATATGACCCGCGTCATCACGAAGCAAAGAAGGTCATATGTGATTCCTGGGCTGCCGTAGGAGACCTTCCATCACTCTGTGTGTATAACGACAAGCCATTCACGGAGGCAGACATCAAAGGCATTCAAAAGGTAGGAGTTGGAGGAAAGAGAGACGACATTACAACAACTGGGAAATTTGGAATCGGTTTCAATGCTGTTTACCACCTGACTGATTGCCCGAGTTTTCTTAGCAACAATGACACCCTTTGTATGTTTGATCCGCTTTTGATGTTTTCTCCAGTGACACAGAAAAATTCACCCGGGAAACAATTGATGGTGGACGATCGGTTCAGGGAAAACTTCCCTGACATGTTGAGAGGATATCTAGAGGATATACCTGCCTTTAATGGAAAGGGGGGAACAGTTTTTCGGTTCCCACTCCGAAAAGAACAATCAAGGCTTTCTGAAGAGACTTACCATCCAAGGAGAGTACAGGAGCTGCTAGGCGAATTCAAAGAAGTGTCTGATGAAGCTCTACTTTTCCTCAACAACATCAAAATGATCAGTGTTTCATGTATTGATGAACACACCAACAACCTGACAACAGAATACAGCATCAGTGCAAAGCTTTCAGAACAAGACGAAGATCGACGCTCAAAGCTGGCAGAGCACCTCAAGCTTTTCACAGATGACCCTTGTGAGACAGTTGAGCCCATGTCTCATGTGTACACACTCGTGACAAGTGACTCGCTTGGCGCTGAACAAACATGGCTCATTTCTCAGACGCTGGGGTTTGAAGGTATGGAGTCTGAATGTCAGTCGGTGTCAAGAGCTTGTAGCTTAAAGATTCCACGTGGTGGAGTAGCGGCTCTCCTCAAGGATAGCAGAACGGAGATGACAACAATTCAGCGACCCAAGGCCTACTGCTTCCTCCCACTGCCGGTTTGCACCGAATTACCAGTGCATGTGAATGGGACATTTGAGTTGGGTTCGGCAAGAAAGAATCTTGCAAAAGGCGATGATTATGCAAAATCAGATGATACTTCAGACAAGAGCCCACTCATCCATAGATGGAATCGAATACTGGTAGAGCATGTACTTGCCCCAGCCTATGCCAAATTAATTGAGCATGCGGGGCGAATAATACTTGGGGAAGCTGATGCCAAGTCTTTGAAACGGCACCTTTGGCGTTATGATGAGCTTTTTCCAAAGCATTTGAAGAGCTATAGTGGAGAGTGGGAACTCCTAGCAAAAGCTACGCTTCGGTACATCAGTGAGAAAAACTTGAAGGTTTTACCTGTTGTACATCAAACCGAAGATAATGTCACAACCACCTGGCATCATCCAAACAGTGATGACAGTCATGCTTTCACTGATAACTTTGCAGTGAGTAGGTCTACACCACGGGAGTTAATGCGCTCCTTCTTGCTGAGTGTCAACTTCAACCTGTTGGCCAGCTCCCGGGATGTATGTTCGGCGTTTCAAGATTGCGATGTTGGAGCAAAGTTTGTATCTCCGCAATCTGTCGTTCAGCATCTTTCATCTGGATCTAATCAAGTGGCACAGACCATTCCTGCTCCATTGGAGAAAACCAAATTCAAGAACATCCAGACTTTACTTACAGTGTTCAAGTACTGCCTAGAAGGTATCGAAAATCCAGCTGAGCTGAATGGCTTACCCATGCGTGTGACGAATGATGGCATACTGCGTGAGTTTTCAACGTGTGATGGTTCATATGTGACTGAACACTCCAGGGTACTACCTTGTCTGCAGAATATATTCCTTCACAGCAAGCTTGTTTCATCGTGCATTGATTGGTTCGAGAAGCTTAAGAAAAAGAATTCCGAGGCTGCTTATAGCAGTGGAGTGTTTAAGCAGTTTACCATAATGGACCTGGCCCAACACCTTGGGAAGCATCTGCCAGAGAGCTGGCAAGGTTGCAATCAGCACGTTGAGTGGACACCAGACAAAGATGGCCATCCCTCTGAGTCGTGGCTTGGAAATCTATGGGCATTCATCTGCAGTGAGACGGTAGAGGAGGGCTCCCTAAAATGTATCAACCAATGGCCAATATTCCCTACTACGTCGGGTAAACTGGTGCCCCCTTCTTTATCCAAAACTGTATTATTGCTGCCAAACGAAGTAGGGTATAGAATGGAAATAGCCGATGTGCTGCGCAGCCTTGGTCTCCCTTCCATTTCGCAGAACCTTATGTGTGAGCTCAAGACGTCCTTTACTGGCAGTGGCACACAAGTACACGTACCGCATGCACCAGCAGGACTAGAAGATATACTTCAAAAAAACTTAGCCCTGACATCGTCAAGACAAGATGTGACGGATGTGATCGCATACGTGCAAAAAACAGACGGAGACATTGGTCATCCGACACCCTCAGAGTGCGACACTCTTCTTCGTTATTTTCAAGAGGGCAAGAATATGTCGGAAGACAGCATGAAGACTATCAAGAAGCTCCCAGTTTTCAAAGTTCTAGGAGAAGACAACACAATTGATCTTTACCGTTTTGATTACTACCACACTGCAGATGGCTACGGAAAGTTGATGGTTGAAGCCAAGACCTGGATGGACAACATGCACTGTGTTATTCTGGAGCCCAATCATACATTGAGTCGGATCTACCTACAGCTTGGAATAACTCCAATCACACAATCTGACATGTATCTCAAGTACATACTTCCAAGCTTCCTAAACCTCAGTCAAGAGGGTCAATTGCAACACGTCGAATTCATCAGAGATAGCGTCCTACACCAAGCTTCAGAACCGGAAGGAAAAGAAATTCTCGAGCGTCTTTCCCATATTGCGTTCATTCCAGATACAACGGACATACCACGACAAGCAAGGTTTTTTTACGACGGTGATAATTCTGTCTTCAAAGCGTTGATTGAACCAATCAAGTTACTGCCTGAATCCATGGGATCCCTGAAGTATTTCCTGAAGAAAATTGGTCTCCATTCAGAAGTAACTCAAGACGACTTTCTTCAGTTTGCACAGGAGGTAGAAAAAAGGGCCGGTGAAGTCGAAGACAAGGAACAGAGAGAGACATTGTGTCGCCAATCTCGTCTTCTGACAAATCAACTGAAATACAGGAAAAAGCTCTGCGATCCAAACTTCCTGAAGAGAATCGCAACGATCAAGTTCGTTCAATCTGTCCCAATCAAGGCAGAACTGCTTCACATCCACCCTGCATGTTATTTGACGGGAAGTCACAACAACCAAGCGCCTGCATTCATTGCATTCCAAGGATCAACGTCGGAGACACATTTGAAGCTTGTCTGGTCAATTTGTATGATACTCCCGTCTTGGGACATACCGATAAACGAACAAGTAAATAAGAAAATTACTGTTCATGAATGCCTTGGAATTGAAACCGTAATTGTTGATAAAGTTATTTCGCACGCACAAAACATTTGTGGGGTGATGAAAACAAAGAATGCGATTCACAAGGAAGACACACTGCCTTCAGAACAGAGAGAGACGTTCAAAGACGTCATGGGCAAGATTTTGGGATACCTGGAAGGTCTAAACTTGGCTGAGCATGGCGAGGACATTAAGAGTCGGTTGAAGTGCACTCCAGTATGTCTTGTGGAAGAAGGACGTGTATTGGTGAGAGCCGATCAGTTGGTATTTGAAATGGACAAAGATCTTGAGCCCTCTTTGCGCCCGTACTTGTACAAAGCACCAAGGGAATTGGCACAGTTTGATACTGTCCTCAGACTGCTTGGAGCCCAGGATTCATGTTCCTTTGACCAGCTGGCAGGAGTGTTGGCTTCAATGAAAGTGGAGTGTGGTAATCAACGTCTAGGTCCAAACGAACAGGAGACAGCCGTGGGTGCTGTTAAAGCAATGCTTGGACTACTGTTGCGCAATAAAAGCGGTCAATCCACGTTTTCCGCATCCGAGCTGTATTTACCTAATACAGAATACGTCTTGAGGAGGTCGACTGATCTGTATTATGCTGACCTTAACCAAATGGGGCAATATAACCTTGCACCAACAGATAGGGAATTCATCTTTCCAGTAAAGCAGTGCGGATTTCTGGTTGAGGACGAGATACGTCTCATTAAACTTCTTCCAGAGTCCCTCCGACCTAAGAATCTTGGGGATGAATGGAATGAGAAGCCGTTAGACACCAATGAAGACTGCCCCGCTGGACAGCATTGTGAGTATCTGGAAGGCATCAAGCGAAAGGTGAAATCAGAGGAGATGACTCGTGTTTTGCTCAGACTTAGGCAACACCAGCTCGAAAACAAACAACCGAGTGCTGACATCAAAGAGCACATAACACAACTCCAGGAATTTGACAATTTCGTCTGCAAAACAGAATTGAAGCTTGGCTTATACGACAATAATGGACATAAAATTGCAGAGCACAGGCACTCGCGGGAAGCGTATTTTGACAAATTGGCGGGCATAATGTACCTGGAACACTCCTCACTCTCTCAGCAGAAGGGTTTGACTTTTGGGCAAATTGCAGACAGTTGCAATGCCCTCCTAGGACATCTACTAAATCCTGAACATGTACGTCACTGTGCGCACGCTTTGGACTGTCAGAATCTTGTGGAGATGAATACAATTATTTCCCGGTCTGACATCCCTGAGTACGATATCACAACAAGTGCTGTCCAACCGGAAGAGCACAGCCCGGGTACACTAATACCAAGAGATATTCATCACCTGCTTGATCATGACCCCTACAACCGTTTCCTCGTAGATGAGATAGTAGGTTATGAAAGAGACATTGACGAAGGAGACCAGTTGCAGTATGATGATAGTGACGACCTTGCCTTGGGCCCTGATGATAGGGTACCGTCAGAAACACCGGCGGATGGTGCTACTGAGCAAATCTATGCCAAACTCCTTGAACAGATTGACAAGGGTGATGAGACAGTCAACTTATCGAAACGATACAAAATCGACGTTGGAGGAAAGGAGTCCATCATAGTTAAAGTGACGAGACTTTATAAATTCCTGCGACCAAAGAAACAACGAGACATGATAGTCGTTCCTCTCACCCAGGAACCTACATCCAATGTCCCGCCTGCGGCACATATTGACCAAGCTCTTCCAGAAGACATGCAAAAAGACGAAGAGCAAATAAAGAAGGAGGTTGATGAGGTATTTGGAATGCCGCCGGAGGAACGCAAAAGGGTTTTCTACCGTCTCTATCGCAAGTGGCATCCCGATAAGAATCAAAGCCAGCAGGAACGTGCCAATAGGGCCTTCCAATTCCTCAAACAAGAAATAGATAGGCATGAAAGGGGTAGTGAGCCCAACCAGCGGTGCTCTTATCAGTATTCTTACTGGGAATCAGAGGTCAATAGGGACAGGGAAGAAGCCAGACGATATCAAGAGGCGTATTACCGTAGTCGGTCCAGCGCCAGATCAAACAGATCATATGGTAACTTTGTGCCGCCGTCCTTTACAAGAGAGACCCCAGATCCACGAAAAGCACGGCTATGGTTCCGTCAGGCCAAGGAACACCTTAAGGTTGCCGAGCAGACGAGCCAACTCGAGCCAGTCCCAGCTCAGTGGATAGCCTTCCAGGTACATCAGGTCGCAGAAACTGCCCTCAAAGCAGCTCAGTACAGTCTGGACGGATGTCCAGACATGAACTGTAACGATCTAATATCTCTAGCTAGGGCAGTTTGCCAACACAGGGACGTAACTTCTAGCCGAGTGTCTGAGGTAACACATGAACTAGTTCAACTGAATTGCGACTTCAGTAAACCTCGCTACCCGCAGGGGAACTCAAAGACAAGTGGACAGGAATACAGTGATTTCAGCACAGCGGACGTTTTGGAGAAATGTGGAGAACTGCTGAATCTTGTCCAAGAAATCATCGGTTTCAGGTTATTTTAGACAACATGATACGAAGCTGAAGCAAGAAGCTTCATGCCGTTATGACAATAAATGAACAAGTGGCTGGAAGGGCCTTACTGTTAATTTGTGCTTATTTTGTTCACTTCATTTTTAGTATGTTGAACTGTGATACTCATCTAGGCATATATCTTTCATCTGCGCGTACCTTCGATTAATATAAGTCTTAGTCAGAAATACCCGAGCCAGGAGGCACTGCAGCCTTGGAAGTACTGACTAACATTTTATGTTCCCATCTGTATATATGCACTGAGATAACTGAGCAACTAAGTAGGGAGCTGATGCTGCTTTGAAATAAATGTTGACACTATCAAAGCTTTTCGAAGTTTCCTACGCCTGAGTCTGTCTTGCACCTGTTCGTAGCCAAGTAGCAGTTGATATGTTCAACGAGATGCTCTTGAGCTTGTTAACTGTAGATAGTGTTTGTTTTTTGTAAAGTTACATTGACAAGAGGCAGGATTAAAGAAATGTATACTCGATAAAAAACTTGACAGAAAAAAATAATCAAGCGCAAGGATGTAGACATTTGTTTAGTATTTGTAGCAATTTATGTAGGACATTGATAAGAGCCTCAAAGATTTATGTTGTCTGTAAACGTGTTGTAAAAGTACTAAAAGTACTAGGTGTAAAAGAAGGAAAACATAATTATCTCATGCTTAGCATGGCCATCAAATAGTTGTACGAGTGTCTAAATGTCATTCATGTGCCTGACGCATGTAATACATAACTTCAGAGTTTGTTGTGTGGATCGATTCCGCGCCTTTGAAATAACAATTTGTGAATTTGATACAATAAGAATTTCAAAACCAGGAATAATTTTTTATTTTCGTGATCATTTTGTTTTGAATAGATATCAGCAGCAGATTTAGTTTAAATAAAAGTAGCTTAGTAATAGAATACTTTGTTTTCAGTATCTTCGGTTGAGTGGTCGCCGAGCGTAACGATAATTTTTTTTTGTGTTAAAAATTGTCGCGGTACAAAACATTCGTGTGATAAAATGTTACATAAGCATATACAATGGCCAACTTTTTGTGTCAAAATACGACAGACGCGTTCTTTTGAATCGTAATGTTTTTCCACATTTATTACACCAAGATCTTTAGAAATTTATGGCTTAAGGAACAAGGCCTAGTGTGTAGCTTAAAAGAAAATGTATCTGCCACGCACTTGAAATGTGTTTGGAAATAATGTATCTACATGTATATACAGATCGTAGTTCAGTTGCTTGTTAGTTTAAAAAAATGGTAAGAAAACGTGTTTGGTATTAATTTTTCAGTTACGCAGTTCGACTTTATTATATGCATTAATTGGAGTATACCCCCAAAGAAACTGCCTCGTAAATCTAGGGAATTTTCTTACATCTGTTTAATATGGATATCATTTATTTGCATTTAATTAAGATTGATCAGTCATGTTTGAGGATCATTAAGCATACATGTATACGATGTTTCTAGTTTAAAGAATTGTTTTAGTTTTTTATAAACTGTTGTAGAAGGTTTTCATGATTATCCTTTGTATATCGCACAGAAGACATGGAGAGAAGGTTTTGTACTGGAAATTTGGATCAGCCATGTCTTAATTACAACCTGAAGCTTAAAAAAATGAAACTTAAAACACGTACAAATTTAGCGAACGTTGGTGATGATTGATGTTATAGTGAAGAAATATATATCTCAAGAGAGAGAAATATATTGCAAGCAAAGACAAGAAGATATCACGTTATACCACTGTTTCAAAAAGAGAGGTTAAACTGTAGATGTAACGGGAAATACTGGAATACAGTTTACATGAGCAATATTAATTTTTGGTATACAAGACGTGTAAAGTATTTTCCTTCCACTCGCAGAGATTTGTTTAAAAACGTTTAATTTGATAATCATCAAAACACACTGTCAATTTTTTACATGTAAAACACTGAACTGCATTAGGAGAGTTGAACTTTGAATGATACCTGCGGCTAAAATGGAAACATCCACAAACGACCAGGAGTCCATAATGATATGTATTTGACTTTTTAAAGGTCGAAGATTAAGAACACTTAATATGAAGGATCACACGTGTCACGTACCATGAATCCAGAAGTTTTATTGATATGAATTCACTGAAATAATTTTACGACTGAAGGGATAAGTTTCTCACGTTTTTATCATTTTGACAGTATGTGTAGATTTCTGTAGTTATATATCATTTTTGTGTTAGTAGGCCTGATTAAAGAGCAGCAAGTGATCCTTTTTTATAACCTGCTGAAATTTTTATCCGTGGTTTCGGTTTGTTTAAGTGTTATGGTTTTATATGGGTTCAGAGTTTGTATACTTCTCATATATCGTGATAATATACCTCGAATAGTGAACATTCATGATGATGTGACAAGTGTTTATTGTTTGCGGTTACGAAAAAGTAAACAAGAGGATCATACTTACTAAGGGTGAAATTTAAAATAAGATAAATACTGGCATGAATACTGGCTATCAAATGATGGTAATACAATTGCAAGCAAGTAGGATTCGTCAAAATAAGTTTTTCATGATTTTGTTGTACCGCAAGTGTCTTCTGTAGAAACGTCTGTAGCGTTTTCCTGGCAACTTTTACTCAAAAATAAGTAAAAAGGTTTAAAACATGGCAATGTTGCCTCTTGTAATTTGTTAAAGGTACGTTGGCATATAGCTGTATTCGATTTCATTTATTGCCGTGGTTCGCATTAAAACACAGCACGAGAATTTATTAAGACAAAGGGAATCCCTCATACAAAAATTTACTGTTGAGTGGCTATACTTTCATTTCATTTCATTTTTTTTTGTACCGAATTGGAACACACCCCTTAAATCTGGTAAAGGTTACTTCAACATTTTAAACCTAAATATTTAAATATAAATATTATATCTGCGGGAGAAAACGAGGTCAGCAAGAGAAATCCGACATTATGAATTTAGTTTCAGTTTTCCATGCAGGAGAGGGCCACAATTACATTATTGCGGGAGGGGTATTTGTGCTTTCGAGGGGTGGTTTTCCATATCGAGAAGGTGCACAATCTTGTTAATGTGAGAGGTGCACTTGTGTTTTTGATCGGGGCAGTTCAAGATGGGCTCACTGAGCTGGCCATCCGATGCTTTTCCCCTTTCGCGATAAAAAAGGTCTCTCTACATAACTAGTCATTCATGGGCGGATCCAGAGAGGTTACAGCGGGGGCGGAGGGTGTGCCCAAGGCCCAAGAGAGGATCCAAGGGGAGGGGGGAGGGGGGCAACGGGGCTATGCCCCCTCCCCCCCCCCCCAAAAAAAAGTCACACAAAGGCAGCCACTACGTACATCACCATCTTATCCAAGTTGCCTCAGATCGGACCACTATCGGGCATCTATATCCATTTTTATTTCGGGGCCCTTTTAAAAGCGGGCCCAAATCCCACGCCGTGAATGTGGACCTACTTTTTAAAGACCACATTTGATTGCTCCCCCCCCCCCCCCCACCAAAAAAACAGATTGTGTTCTGTATCCGCCATTGCGGAGGCCGAAGGGATCTTTCAGTTCACACTGACGGAAGGTGCCCCTTTTTCTGAATAAGTGCCCATTTTTTGTGTTCCCCCCCCCCGTTTGAAAAGCGTTCCGCCGCCCTGCCCCAAGATGCGTACCGGGGCATTTCGAATGACTGCACCAAAATAATTCTTTAAGTTAAGAATTGAATGCTGTACTTTCTGGTTTCGTTTTTATGCCTTCGCTTACGCACCGCCCTAAATATGGCAAATTCATTGCAGAGAAATAAATGTTCTGATTTTATAGTCTATTGAAAGATTGTCTGTAATAAACTGCAAACTCTTGAAAAACGATGTATAATAACTAATTAGCCTACGCTGACCAGCGCACGGCCAACGAAAACCCGCATAGTATCAGCGCTAGAATAATAGTGATACAGTTGTCCTTCATTGACATTATAGCCTTGTCAAAGACATAAATAAGTCATTAGTGGGCGTTAGAAATAATGGAAAGTAACAATTCCATCTTTTTTCGGTAAATCTATTTGCAAATAATTTAAATTTGCGGGTACTCCAATAGCACTTGTACGTCTTTATTTTATTCCACGAATTCGTTGGCTCGCAGCAGCTCTAAGCTTTAATCTGATATCCAAAACATAAATTTCACAGATCACGTTTTTGAAAAAAGGGCAAAATGTTTCAGGGTTGCATTTATCTGGGGGTCACCCTGTGTAGCAAACCTCGATCCACCCCCTGGAGGCATGGTCGCATGGCCCCCGTTGCACCCCCCCCCCGCCCCCGCCTGGAACTGTAGACACGAGCCGAAAGAAAACTCCGAAACATAATGTGGCCCAATTATTTACGGATAATCATTGAGGCTCCATTTCAAGGCTCCATTTCAATACCACATTGCTTATTAAGATGCAGCGTAGTATAAGGTAGCAGACCAGTAAATAAACTTCCATAGACCCCAATGGTAAATGCTCCCAATTCAGAAATTCGGGGAAAATACTCACAACTCTCCAAGGTGTTCGAGACCCACATCAAATTACAGCTTATTTCATCATCTTGCATTTTCTTTTCAATTTTCGGGGGTCAACTGATGACTTTTAGGAGAAATTTCCATCTGAAGATTATCACCCCTGAAAATAGTCCTGAAGCTCATCGCCATTTTGAAAAACAATGCCTACACTCCATTGCAAAATAGAGCGCTTTTTGGGTCCAAATTACATCCAAATTACACAGAACTGCAAGCTCCCAGTCCTGTGCACGGCTTCCACCCATATTTTTTACAAACCCTCAAGTTCATGGCCCACAGCATGCTCAAATACTGAAGATTTTGAGGGCATGCAAATCGTGATTTGGCCGGCGTAGGCAATTTCGGACCGATTTACTGGTCTGCACCATTTACTATGTTTTGTTTGCTGCCCCCAACGACGACTTTTACACAAATTGCAAGTTCGGGTCGAAACAGGACCTGAAAAACAGCTACCGTTATCAAGTAAGCAACAATTTGT